TATTTCTCCATCTCTTGCCATTGCCAAAACAAAGAATATTGAATCAAGTTTATCAATCCCTGGTAGTGATTTCAAGGCATCTTAAGTAATGGTTAAGTAAGTTTAGAAAGAGCAGAGGATTACAAAAGATGTTACTTCACGGAGAGAGTGTTGAAATCAACAACTTTGATTCTACGTTGCTGATAGCTTTGAACGAACTCTATGCAATTATAGCTCATTATGATCCTTGAAACGTCTACAATATGGTCGAGAATGGCTTATTTTCTTGCTTACTACCAAGATACAATCTTCTTATGCCACATGAAGACATATCAACTAACAAAGATGAAAAAGAAGTCCAAAGATCAAATTTCTCTTATTTTTTGTATCAACGTTGTGGAAACTCACGAAATACCTTGCACATTGATAGGCAAATCAAAAGCACCCGTTTGTATTAAGGATTGTCAATGACCTATTCCATACATCAGTTAGGTGAAAGCTGGATGGATGTTCAGACATGTTGGAAGTGGTTAAACGAACTGTTTTTTCCAGAGGTGAAAAAACAAACCGGACATCGGGTTCTTTTGGTGATAGACAATGCATCTATACATTTTGAGGCTTTTGAACATGACAATGTTAGTATCATTTTTTTCCTTGCAGATTGCACAAGTTGGAAACAGCATTGAGGTAAGGGCATAATTGCAGCTTTGAAAAAAAGGTTCAAATATTTTGATGTTAAGTATGTTCTTGAGTTTTACAAACTAGGCAAAGAGACAAGACATCAATTGAGAATGTAAGGAAAAAGATTGAAACGTGGTGCTGCTGGAGTTGCATACGGATTCCAACTCACTTGCTCGATGCTGCGAATTGTGTCAAAGAAGCTAGGCAGTCAATGTCACCAAGCTCTATCAAAAAAAATATTTGTGAATGTAGATATAATGAAATTGGAAACCGATTAGGAAAAAATGAACTAGATGGGAGATCTAGTGACCGAAGTTACACAAGCTATTGTAGCTTTAAATTTTTTGGTTAGGCAAGAAAAGATTGAAAAATTTTTTCATGTCGATGATGAAAACAGTGAAGTATTTATCATTGAAATTTTGGAACAGGTTGAAGAAATTTTGGAGACTGTGGAAAAAAATCTGGATGAGAGAATTGATGATGATTATCAAGATTCAGAATCGAAGTTAGGAAACAATTTCGTATTCAAGGGATTTGAGTCACTTTATAAGAAAATAATTTATATAGAAGAATAGTTGCTATGTGAAGAAGTTTGGAAAGAGAGTCAAACTAACAATTTGAAGATATTACACAGTTATTTGAAACATTTCATAGCAAAGTTAGACTTGTCTTTGAAAGCTAACTGCAAGGAAGGTCAAAACTTGCGTCAAATTACCATTCATGACATGTTAAACTAAATAAAATTGATTAATGTTTTTTTCAAAAAAATTGCGTACTGATTCGGTATGCGTATTTAAACGGGTGCATACTTACGGGAAGGTTACTGCACTACCTCGCTCTACACCCTCGTATGTGAAATTTCTTGAAGAATTCGTAACATTTCTCGTCTGATTTTTTGATAGAGTAAGAGCCGTGGCTTCAGATTAACATGTGCTACTGGTATGCGAACAACTGATCCCCGTGAAACAATTTCCTCAACTTGAGCAAATAACGTGCTCAAACAAGCCTTGACAAACCCACAGCGTACCACAGCCGAACAAGCCTTGACAAACCCCCGCTGCAGCTGCCTCGATGTAGTGGCCATCCTCTACAATTCACTCCGCACTCGGTTCAGAAGTAAAACTGACAAAAGGCATCAATTTTTGGAAGCTCCTAGCGGATCTGGACAGACCACATCAAGAACCCTTCCCGTTGCACGTACGCGTGAATCAAATTTCACAAGTGTTACTTTCATTGGCCGCAGCTGTCAACATCTCCAGCTTCAGTTTCTTCACATAGGATGGATCGCTGTATCGGCAATAAAAGTCTGTAGTCTGAAGCAAAAGACATGGGAGCTCTCATCACAAGGAGATGTAGATGACTTAGAACGGCGTAAGACTGCTCCGCTTTTCCTGAGATGAGGGAGCCTTGATGCGCTCATAGACCCTTTATAAACCACTTCGAGTACGAGACATTGTGCACATTCGCTGAACTCCTTGAACCTGAGTATCGGAGTCGTGTAGAAGTAAGGCCTTCAGTGTCACTGGAAATTCATTATCAGTGCAAGATAAAGGGGCAATGTGATAAAGCTTCAGGACACCGATAGGTGCGACTGATCTCACATATCCATGGCTGTCCTTTAAACCCCGTTGCAACGGATGGACAAGATACTTTACCAAGTTTTTCACTCTGAGTGCGCAGCCGAAGACCTTCCGAAGCCCACATTGGAACGGACGAAGAATTCGGCAACGAGGAGCAGCAAGGTGCGACAGCGCACGTCACGCTAGCTCCTACGGACGCCGCAGGCATCGCTCCGAGCAGGCTCGTTCCAGCTTCAAATTGCCCCGCCCTGCTCAAATCGACTCCACTCGAAACGAAGCTCGAACTTCCCGACGCTCCCGACGCTCACAGCATGCTCACGAATCGAGCCGCAAGAAAACTCGAGGATTCGTCGCGCCATCTGCTTATCTGCAGCTACAGCTTCTCACTGATCCAGCGTGGGATTTGCCCGTCGAGCGCACTGTATTACATCCCGCTTGAGAAATTTTACTTGCTCTCTGATTTCAAGAGTCTTCTGTATTTTCAGAATGGGGGCCGCGGACCCGATGGGCGCCGCTGCCCGCTCCGCCTGCGCGTGGCCTCGCGCCTGTGCAGCGTCTCGTCTGCTCCGTCTGATTTCTCCTGCAGATTACAGATCACTAGATAGAAATCTGGAAATTCAAACCCGTCGAAGTTCTCGTTTTCTCACTCGTTTCGTGAATTTCCCGACTTCCGCACAGCGCGCGTTTCATCACCCGTTCGCCCGACTATATTCCTGCGTACTTGTTTTGGAAAATTTGGAATCTATCGGGCTCATCAGTCCAGAATGCTTCAATGTAACAGAAGAACCAATCCGCAGACTTGGGGTCAAGAACTCTTAATCCTCATACTTCCGTCGAATCCAGTCTGAGTGCTGTTGGACCGAGGCGTTTGAAAGAGGCTTTGAGTTATGAGGTGATTAAGTAGCATTAGCTGCATCAATTGCTCCCACCGCGAGCATGAGTTCAACTTGATCATCCGTCCAAGTATCGAGCGTCAGAGATATGACCCTACTGATGTTCGACACCAAGACTTTGGTGCACACCAGAGCACTTGATGCAGATGAATACTCCTAAATTAGTAGACGCCCACTTTGGATGGGGAGCACGGCAGTGATACTTGAGGTCGAGCAGCCCCTCAGCGACTACCGGCATGCTGTGAAATTACACCGACTCTCGCAGCGTAAGATTTCTCGAGCTCACATCTAATCTTCGCGACTCCCACTGCTCGTCAAAGAGAAAAAACTATGTATGCCATTTACAGCAAAGCAAAAACCTGTCTCGACCACAAACCAGAACGAGAAAGAAAAACAGAAAGCAGTATCTATAAATCAAGTATCACCGTTCTTAATCCTATTTCCATCACAAACCGTCAAACAGCGGACCTGTTTCAGACTGTCACAACAAAACCGTCACCAAACCAACAAATTGAAAATACACCTTAACACAATCTGAGGCTTTGTCACATAATTCCGAACCGGCTCTATATCAATTGTAAAATCCGAAAAACATATCGACACAGAAATAACGTGTTCACCGTGCGTACACCGAGAAGAAGCCATACCTTTCCTCCAGATCATGTCAATAAAATACTCTATGTACAATGCGCAAACCGGGGTAGTTAACCCCAGTCCAAGCCAACTTCCTAACTATAAATAATTAGAACTCGAGGTTAATCTTTAACTAGAGTTAATTTTAACATTTGGGTTGTATTGTCACAAAAAGAAAAGAGAATGATGGATTGAAAAGAAATTAGGGCAAAGTTAAAAATTAATTATAACGTTTTGTTGTGTGAAAAATCGATGCAAATTTTTGTCTAGTTGAAACTACCAATATATTTGACGAGGTGTTTGATGACAAGAAGAAAGGGGTTATGAAAGAGAATGAGCATCGTACAATGAGCAGTATACTATCTCTTGTCAACAGATGAATATACATGTGCTGAGCGTACATGCAATTCATGGATCTTTTGAACATTATTAGCAGGTGTATGAGGACTAGTTTTTTTTCTTGAACACAAAGACGGTTTTATGGAAGAGTTTAAGACAAACTGAGGTTGAATTTCCACTTAGTTGTGACGGGAGGAAGAAGAGAGAGTTTTAGAAAAATAGGTTAAGCTTTATTTACATAGTGAAGTTAAGGTTTGCATCACAGAGTTAGCACATTACCATATTATTTGCTGTCAAGATTTTTCATTAAAATACATTCAAGAGGGGTTCGTTTGCTCATTTGAAAGACCTAGAATGATATCACCAAATTTTAATCATTCGTAAATGATTTTTTTGAAAAATTATATGAGAAAAAATTCTCTTCTTCCTCTTGAAATCCAAAGACAATGGAGATATTGGTTCGAAATATCGGATTTTTAATTGATTAATTAAATTAAAATTTATTTTATTTTTGGCACAATCAAGGGTGAGAAAACTTTTCATAAATATGGATAAAGAAATTAAAAAATAAAAATTTAACCAAAAGATTTCGTTCATGATTTTTCAAAACCCACAAAATTTTCATGCACGGCCAGTTTTAAAAGCGGATAATCATCAAGGTAGGTAGAGATTACCGAACTTTACTCGATATTTAAACCAAAACATTGTGCTCCTCGTAGTTATTATCATGTTAGATTCTAGAACAATGACGAACTCACTTCGTCACTGGAATCGACTGTTACTGTTGTTGTCACGGAGGCGCGTACGAAGCGCACGGAGGGACACGAGAGCGATGAAGACGACGACGTGGGCCGTGGATAAGATGCTCCGCGGTCGGGGTCGCGGTCGCGGTCGGCGCAGTCCAGTTCACGGCCATCCGCTCATCGATCTGCATTCGCAGAGCGGACTGAGCGTGCGCATGCCCTCCCCCTTCGTGGCCAGAGCGAAATCCTCGACTCCCGACATCGCTAGCACTCGATGCGGGGGCTGGTCGAATATGGACTTCCCAATTGCGGTCGGGCGTGTACCTCGCGCCTGACTGGTGCCGCAGATATCTCCCAACAGGGGCGATGATCGATAGAGTGATTGATTGGAGTGAGCGAGCGAGCGAGTAATCGATTTTGCCATGGAATTTGCCGTGGGGAACGCTGCGGTGGTGGTCAGGAGGTGATGGCTGGGCGGGCACACAGAGTGGATGTGGTGGTGGTTGTCGCCGTTGGTCGTTGGTGTGATTAGGGTGCCGGCCGAGGATCGCTACCAGTCTGACAGTATGATCTGTGTGGGGACAACGAGCGGGCACTCACGCTGGGAATTTGCGAACCTGAAGATTCAGCGACGGAGGGTGAGGAAGCTGGAGAAGCCGCAGTTGTCTGTGCAGTCTTCGTTGGAGGTTCCAGCGAGGCCTCCGAGTTTGCCACCCAATTGCGCACTTTCATCGCAGAGGATCGAGACAATTCGCCGATTTTGTAGCTTCACGTATCCGATTGCGTTCAGGTCCCGGAGAATGGGGGATATTATCGACCTCGTGGCTGAGGAGCCGGGGTCCGATTTAACGAGGAGAGCTGGGAATGGTCAGCGTTTTTCTAGTTTGAGACCATCCGGTGGTGGCAAAAGATTAACCTTTGCCCTTCCAGCTGGAAAAGCATCGGAATTCTTCAATTCGTCGTATGGGAGAAAAGGTCAGACTTTATTCTGCAGGGCTGAGAGGATTTCCAAAGAGCGCAAAAACGGTCGATCTTCTTTCGACTACGAAACGGGCACGGAAACTGAAGCAGATGTTGGTGGTGGCTTGCTGGATGACACCAGCATGTGGGATTCCAATGCAGAAGGCATAAGGAGGGGAAGATTCAAAAAGAATTCGAACATAAATTCGGACTTGCCTGGAAGAGACAGGACTCAAACTCAACAGGATCCTGAGTTTGATGGTGATGAAGCCAGAAGCACGAGAAGTAGGCCACAGAAGCAACAGATTTGGGACTCTGTCGACGTTGAGCCTAGAACCAGAGAGAAGTTTGAGAAAGATGAATGGGACTACGACGCCGAAGCCAGAACTTCCAGAGGCGAAACTCCTCGAGGAGAAAGTAGACGACGGTGGCAATCCAGAGAGGACGATGATGCTGAATCGTACGAAGAACCAGATGAAGCGGCAACGAATTTCAAGGACGTATTCTCATGGGTGAATGCGGACGTGAAAGATGTGAGTTTCGCCCCTTCCCGTTTTTCCAACTTTGGACCTTTCCATGTGCAATATGTTCTATGACCCAATACTCTGTGATCTCATCTACAGGTTAGGTCTTACTGCACTTTACTCTCCATTCGTGAATTTGGTGGAGAGTATTCTTAACATGTTGCTGTTTTGAGATTGACGATCATGTAATGCTTTTTGTGAGGCGTGGTAAGGAGTTAGTCCCAGAAGCTGTAGGACGCTCAGAAAAGAATTGTTATCATCCTCCTTGTTCTGAATGTAAAAGAGTGACAAATTCTTTCTTTTGTAGGCATTCGTCTTAATCCGATGGGGATTGCCTGCAGCCGTGCTTCTCGTTCCATGGCTCATGGGCAACCCTATGATGCTGCTAATTGGCCTCTCCTTCATACCAGCTGCAAACAAGTTCATAGGACCCATAGCCAACCAGATCTTTCGCACAGTTATGTCAGGGGGTTCTACTCCCAAACCCAGAAGGAGACGTAAACCGAATACTGGATCATCATCATCGAGTCGGAGGAGTCAGCAGCAGGCACAGAGACCTCCGGCGTACAATGACAGAGAAGCTCCAGCAGCATCGAGCTCCTCCGGTGTTGATCCAGGGGAAGCTGATTTGTTCACCTCAGTATCCACCACGATCTTCGGGGATCCGAATGTCGACGATGTGCCGAGAAAGGCTACGAGGCTGGGTCGGTCTAACGGCACGGGAGGTTCTACAACGAGAAGACTGGGTGGATGGGAGGATTTAGAGGACGACAGGGCCAGAGCTAGGGCCGACAGATGGCCTACAAAACGTAGAGGAAGCAGTAGCAGCAGCAGCAGCTGGTCCGAGAAGAAGATTGTCAAGAGGGAAGAGAGGAACATCTTCGTCAGATTAATTCTCGCCTTATTCCCCTTCCTTCGTGACTGGGGTGGACTGATGTGATGTGGGCATTCCCTCGAACAGGAACCTGGAATTTTTCTCGGGATTCCAGTAGTTCTATATAAGTATATTAGAGACAAACATTCAGTCCTCTTCAGGCAGGTTTTCAGTACTCACAGCACACGTATGCAGAATCTGCTCTCCCATTAGTCAATCGATAGCCTCGGAGTAACTTGGTGTTGGTGCATTATTATATCATCATCAGTCATGGTCTCTGTACGGGAGATGTTGTCGTTCTCTGGAGAAGAAGAAGAGCAGAACCTCGTGCTGCTCGGTGATCCACGTTAGCAGCAGCGTCTCGCAGGTATGAACATCAAGCCCTTTGTAGAGAGTTTCTCCATCAATCTGAATTAACATGGAAAACGATGCTCATCGTACGTAGCTAGGGTGTACACGGACTATCTTATGTCCTGATAGTCTCAAGTGAGGGGGATTTGTGCAATAGGAGTGGGAAGAATCTCACAGAGCGACCCGGTTGTTTGCTCTGAGAGTGCCCTGGCTGCTACCGAGTGATATACCCAAACTTTCGAGGAGGTTACTGGCTCTTACTCGGTAACTTGGACACACCAACGGATGGAGGCTGATGAAGTCGTGGTCTGTCGTTTTTGCGATTAATTCTACTCAATGCACGATTGACAGACAAGCTGCAGCCATTTGTGCATTGAGGATATACACAGACCGCGTCCTTTGGTGCTCGACTTGTGGCCTTTCACAGGCTACAGGTTTTCGGTGAAGTTGAAGGTGCATGGTGCCCTATGTTCCTTCGCTGCTTCTGTTTCGTGATCTCATTGGCCGTAATATTTTCGTCGTTGTAGACAATCGATTGTAATTACCGTCACTGGCTTTGAGATCGTAAGAGCAATCTTCTGTCGAACATTACATCGTGCACGATAACGAAATTATGTGTCTTCTCGACATTTCCATGCGTTCATTTCCATGGTTGAGTGTAACACGTGGCTGCTCTCAGCCACTCCTTATTTCTAGAGAAGATCTAGCCACACACGGAGACCGCCAGTAGTAGGTATTCACGAGCCTTCTAGGCACTGCAAAGACATTAGAGACGAAGGGATGTCGTTGACGAGTGAATTAAGCTTTAGGAGCCTTCCCTCTCATGATATATATATATATATTCATTCAAAGGAAAGGACTGGAGAGTCTGTCGTCCTGTTAATGCAGTGACATGCACTGCGTAGACTAACCACCGTCGTGCAATTGTGTTGCTGAAATGGAATGATCTGGTGTACCCGGTAAAACTAATACCGCCCGCTGAGATTTATCCAGTATCGCATGCACCACTTTGCTGGTTTTCTTGCTGTTTCTGCTGGTTTTCGTTCTTTCCGCTACTTTATTTCTCATAGTGGTCCAGTTGTAGAATTGGCAAGTAACTGATGGTGCATGTGCGTGTGCAGTCATTGAAGATTTGGACGGTCGAACGGGCGAATGAACAATTGAAAACTTCTACATCTGCATGCATTAAATTTGAAATATCTTTTGATTTTGGTTTCCATAAAGTGTTGCAGCCGTTTATTACAAGCGATATGACTTCACTTTTAATTCGATCAATACGATGGATTTGAAGGAAAAGGAAAGAAAAATTAATTCATTGGTTTTGTTCCACCAGAGTTTTTCGCACTTCGTTTATATATGGGCGGAACATTTTGATGAGATTGCAGTGAAAACGATGGTTGTTTTGTAGTCGCTTTTGACCAATTCAAGATTTACTCCAGTGGCGTTCAATGTAAGTCTGATAACCAGATTGTGTGACTGAGCAGAAGAATTGTTGTGATTCTTCTTGTAATGGAAGCTCGCTGCATATTCAGGGGTGTGGAGTCTGTCATTTGTATCATACAAGGGGCTGTACAATCGTGGTGAGAACTGCGTTCAACGTCAACTTTTACTAGCAGTAGACCCGTTATCGATAGGTACCTGAGTCCATAACAGGGTTTCATGCTCAAAAGAGGAAAAGTCTTCTTTAGTTGATGCTAGCATGAATGTTTCAACTAATATGATTGATATTAGTAACCAGTGAAATTCATGTCTCGCATATTGTACGTGCATCGTACTTCCTTCTTGTACATAGTTCTGGGAATCGTTGCAGTTGAAGTCGGAATTTTTGATATGGAGACAATAGTCTCCGTAGTGATGCATGTAATGGCTTAGTCTATTCGCAGTGTATAGGACGTTACTTGATCAGCGACAAGATGCACACTCAGATACTATCCGCAAGCCTTTATTTAAGGGAATAGATCTTGTACATCTATTGCTAACGGTGAGTGATGATAGCAAGCTGTTTGAAGCGGGTGAAGTTCACTTAGATGACCGAGTAGGAGTTTTTATGACTGTAGTTCACTTACCAGTGCGACATAGATATACCTTGTCTGTGAGGTTAAATTTCGCTGAAGTCAGATCCTTCCCCGAGGTAGTTCCAAGAGCTGATACTAGCTAGGCTCGCTTGTATAAGTAAAAATAAAAAGTCGAAATACCAAACACACAAAAGCCAGTCAAAACAAATAGATGAGATAGACAAGGTCAAGACGCAGATCTACTGACCATCCTTTCTGAAATACAGGTAAGGTCTACCCAACAAGCCGTCTTCAATCAAGCCATACGGATGTAAAACATCTGAATCAGGCAGATTTCACTCTGGGAATGTGGAAGAGATTGGGTGATTGCTGGCATGATCATTGTTTCTCGCCAGACATAACACAACCTGGGTTGCACAAAAGGGTGTCAGTATCAGAATACAAATGAGTTCTTACTATCAAGTGATATCGCAAAAGGGTCCTGGTTTCGGACAGTGATCTACCAGCTGGAAAGAGTGAGCAAAATTTGTAACTTCACTTTTAACTATGAATGCCAATCTAGACGTGAAAAACATCCCGGGAAAAAAACAACAGTAATACTTGCAAGCGCACTCATACACCTCGATCAGAAGTATAATCCTCCACGTACCTTGTAGCGGCATCTGATACTCCTGAAAGATGTGTCTTTATTTTTAAACTTCAGCAAATGGATTCAAACCAGGCTGGAGCGCATAGTGTGCCCAATGATACAATCGGGGCTCGCGAGTGTATGTCTGCCCATTCCAGGTAGGCAAACAGGAATCCGTAAAGCTAGGCGACTTCCACGCTGATGGATGAAAACTCCATTCCCTCTTGGGAACATTGTATATGACCAGAGGAGTTTCTTGAATATACCTTCCTCCAAAGTATATGCAGTCCCCTGCGGCTGTAACCTGGTCGAAAGAAACGTAGGCGAGATTCTCGAGAGGGCATTTGGCTTCTTCCTTGATCTGTCCAGAAGCTAGGTCGAGCTTGAAAATCTGGAAAGAGTTCGTCCGCACAAATGAATCTCCATCAGTAGAGTGGGACACGGTCGAGCTCAACAACCTCACCACCAACAGAAGCTCTGAGCCGCAGAGAAGAACGTGATACTGCATGACGTTCTGGAGGATGAGTGATAGCGGAGGTATCATAGTAGTCCAAGTACCCTTCACCACATCATGAGTCATGAGAATTGGGGGATCATTGTAATCACGGCTGCCGGTGGCAATGAAAAAAACTCCATTGTAATAGGCAAAATTGGAATATGAGGTCTTCCAATTGGCCATCAAAGCCTGGGAGCAATTCTCTGTCCAGGACTTTGACAATGAGTCGTACACTTGCGTGGAAATGGTACTCGGGATACCTACAACATGCCCGAGTTGTGTGATCAGAAAGAGCTTGTAGTCATTGCAACCGACGGGAATCATATGCATGATATCCGGCCGTTGCATGTTTGGCCGTGATGGAAGGAGACCCCATTTCTTGGTTATGACATTTGCCACGTACACTTCATGGTCCAACAGTCGATATTTCCAATGCACCCAATCCTTATAGGCTTCAATGTCCACACCTTCAGTGCTGGCAAAATTGACACTAGCCAAACCGATCAAAGAACCAGCACAGCACGTGACCCTCGTAGTATATATGCCTTTGGGTATAAAGGGAAACATCTTGAGGTCGAAGATCTTCTGCCAAGTCCGAGACTGGTCGTTGAAACCGATCATGCCCTCTCGGAACAAGTATACTGGGCAGAAGATTGGCCACTTGGATGAAACTGAGGTAATCACCTCTTCAAACTTGCGCATGGACATTGTGTCCTTCAATGCTCTCTCGTACCTCGCAGATGCCCGTGAGAGCAAGTAACACTGGAAAAACAACTTGAAGGGCAGCCTTGCAATGACCTCCTCAGCTAAAACCTCCGGAAGACTGGACCATAATTTCTCATCCATATCCACTGCTATGATTGAAGGCTTCGACTTGTCACAACTGCAGTGAGCCCTCTGAGCTGCAGTGAACACCATCCTTATATCTCCCTGAACTATTTTTTTCGTCTCCTCGTGGTAAGCCATCTTCAGTGGTCTTCGCATCAGACGACGTGTTAAGATACCAGAAAAACCGATCATGTAACAATCCAGGTTGACGGAGGTACTTCCTAAGTCGTACTCAAATTGAACAACCTATGATCAACCATTTACACGCAGATTAGTGAAGATAAGGTTTTGGCCACCACTCACACCACACAACAAAAAATTTGGATATATCACATCGACCTTCACAATGTTCTTGAGGAACTAAAATTGTTCTAGATTTCGAGCTCAATGCCACGGTGATAACGGTCTGGTTTATGCGAGACGAGGTTCTTGGATGAGAATCCTTTTTAAAAGTCGCCACTTACCCTTCTTAGGGCTTGCAGCATCTAACTTCCTTAGCTTCACCAAGCTTGATCGAGAGTTACGCAGGTAACTGAAGTCGCACATGTGTTCTGCAAAGTGGAAGAGTAACTCATCTCCTCTCCTCTGCAAGAAAAACATTCGTCAGACGGCTGACCTTTGAACAGAACATTAACTGTTCATTCTTCAAGTGTTCTCGACTTGAAGCTTATCTTATGAGTCATTAATTGTTCAGAGTCAGCTAGAGATCACCATCGTCATGATGGTAAGATATTGGGTTACTCAGTGTACATATCAGGGGAACAGTAAGTTGTCGATCGAGAGTGAAAATTGGACGTCATAAACTTTCAACACAACTCTGGAAAGTGGATGCATCAGGCTGGATGACGCGGAAGTACTCTCATGATCGACTTCCACGGGCACCTAACAGTATAAAGCACACTTTCTCTGACATATCCTCAGGATACCCAGAGCGAATCCTTAATAGAAAACCACTTGACTGGAGAAACTTGTAAAGCCCTGACTGCATCCGAGTGATATTTATCGTGGAAACTGAGGAGATCCAGGTCGAAAAATGCATCAGAGCTGTATACTAGTAGCCAAGTCCTAAGGAGATTTTCCCATATTAGATTCATCATTTTAGCTTATCCCTGGTTCATAACTAAACTTCAAAGGGCACTTCAGAACCCACATCAAAATCTGGCAGAAAACACGCTGTAAGGAGGGACAGAAAGAAAGCGTGCGTGTTTGTGAGAAAGAGAGAGAGTGAGAGAATGAGAGACAGTGGATGAAGTCGGCAGTAGAACAGAGGTTCAGAATTTTGATTTCTGAATTATGGCCGAAGAAGTGAGAACCTCCAAACGAAGAAACGGAGCTTACTGCTTAGATGATCTTGAACTAACTATTTTCGGCAGTTTGTATCGACAATATGGGAAGCACCCCTTGAAAAAGGAGATTTCAATAAGACGATCTTTGTTCTGGCGGTTAAGACATATCCGTCTTATCCAAGGAAATTCGTGTAGTAGCAGGGTATGTGATAGCTAAACACCACAGATCACAAAAACGAAGAAATGACTCGGTCATCCATCTACAGCTTCAGAAACTTATTTCAACACAAAGATGCTGTTGAGATGCGACAATGCCGTTTTGTACAAACAACATCGGCGGACCTCCAATCGGCGGGCTAAAGTTAGAAAAAGTATTTGGCCTATTGTAGGACTCGCAGCTTTGTAGCTCGCCTTACCATATCCAAGGTGTCCACGAAATTGTACCCAGTATTTGGGAGCAAACAGCCGAAAAAGGAAATGGACTGTCCTTTGATCATCTTTCTCTCTTGAAATCATCACATGGAAGACCAACACCTGTGCGTTACTTCGTCCGTTTGTTTGTTCGAGATCTGAGAGCTGCTCATACGATCAGCAAAATCGAGTTCCTCGACATGGGCATCTGTTGTCCTGATGAGTAATAAGAGAGATCAATCGCAGCCGATCGCAGCGTTTGCACGGACGCATTCAAAGTTAGTTGCTTGAAAGTTCAACCCTAAGATTCCGACGAGACACAAGCTTCGAAGCTGATGATTTTCAAATCAACTGGAGCATCTGCGTAAAATGCGCATAACTTTCTGGTCTTTCAGATCGTAAGTGCACAAATAATTATCGGTGAAATTCGAGTACTTCTTCGGCTTATGTGGAAGATGCTTTCCACCCATCATTTACCTCAGAGATATCTCGTTTATTTGTGAAACCACTGGCCAGTAAAAAAACACGGAATTTGCGGAGCGCTGAAATTACTGGCTGTGCTGAGGAAATATCCCAAAAGAAACTAAACTGTAGATCTCCGCAGCTAGACGAAGGAAAGAACAAGGAACCGAAGGAAACAAGCGACATTCGCCAAAAAATAACACGGGCGAGATTTTCATCATCATTCTGCCCACGATAAGGAAATAGAAATGTGTACTAAAAAAATTATGGAAAACCTTCGACAGACAGGCTAGAACATCAGCGAGCAGAAAAAAACAAACATACCTTGAAGTGCCATCTTCTTCAATATCACATTCGAGCTTTGATGCGTGAGATGGAGGAGGGGGGTTCATGCTGAGTCGTTCAACGGAACAACATCTTGGAAACGACGCTGGAAACAACATCAGCATTTCGCCCTGACTACTGCATCCCACATATTTAAAAGCATTCACGGGTGGTCTACCCATCACGATTGGCTAAGACATGGCGTAGTGAAGCGCGCTATGAAGGTCGTGAATATAATCCTGCCGCGAGGCTCGACAGGAATCAGAATATCTGATAGGAACTGAAGCTGCCTTCAGTCATTACATATCAGCAGCCAAGCCTTGAGAAAATGGTCGTCGTCTATCTTAATTTTGCAAGCCCTGCAACCGCCGTAAAGTTCACGAACATATCAGATTCAGCATCTCTGTTCTCTTTCAGTCATTCTCGTAGTCTCCATAATATCAACCTCCAACATAATCCTGAATTCTAACTCGACACATGTCCTTCCTCTCTCTCTCTCTCTCTCTCTCTCTCTCTCTCTCTCTCTCTCTCTCTCTCTCTCTCTCTCTCTCTCTCTCTCTCTCTCTCTCTCTCTGACACACAACTCATACGAGTACCAATAACACCACCATGCATCACCGAGTTCAAGGCTACGCGTCTCTCAGCTTTGAAAAAAAAATATATCGCTCGACTACTGCACCTTGCAAGACGTCAACTACGATGCATTGCAAGACTCGGGATTGCGAAGCTGATCATTCTTGATCGGTGAGCGAGTACGATTTTAATTCAAATCGTATAAACTCACCACGGTGGTGTGGTTAAGGTGCGGTCTTCAAATAAGGCGATCGGGCAGCGTAATTCTCTCCTCCCCTCTCTTCTTGGCTCCTACATCCTCCCTCTCATGACTCGTTCAATTTCTTCTACTTCTTCTTGGGGGATTCTCTCGCTCCTCTGTAGAAAATCAAGCAGTTAGCACGGTGCTCGTCGTTCTCAGCAAGAAGGTTATGATCTTTCAGATTGAAAGCACTAAGACGGCTCGTTTCCCTCACCCATCGTGAGGACTGCCCTTCGTGGTGGCCGGTTGGACTCCTATATAGTACACTGCAGCTTCTCCTCCTCTCGTCGTCTTGTGGAGGTAGTAAAACTTTTCATTCTCCTAAAGCAGGACCTGCTGCAGCAGCAGCACCAGCAGCAGCCTCAACTCTTCCTCTCCCCCCGGCTGCCTGGGCTACTGCCGACTTGATGGCCCAGCGATGCGATGGTTCCAGGCGCAGACGCGGACGCAGACGAAAACGAAGACGAAGGCGAAAGAAGAAAGACCACCACAGGCCCCTGATGAGCTCGCACTGACCTTTCCGTGGGCAGCGACGACGACAACGACGACGTTACTGATGTTGCTCTTCCGCTTCGTGATAAGACAGTCTGAGTCACCATCATCCTGCCTGTGCAAGCAGACGCAGTCAGGCACGCCCCGAAGGACAAACACAATCTCCCCTTTTCCACCTCTCCTCCCCTATGCCACTTTCTCCAGTAAACAATTGCTCCCCTCGTCCCTCCGAGCTCCCTCCCTCCCACCCACCCACCCAACCAACACACCAAGCGCTGGAAAGAAGCGCCGCCCCGCTCGACCGCTATTCTTGACCGAGCACAGCATCTGCAGCCAGAAAAGAAGGCAGCACCTGCAGCAGCAACACCATCACCATCGCCACCATCCCTCGCAAGCTCTGCCAGCCAGCCGACTACTCTAAATCTCACTTAGCAGCAGCAGCAGCAGCAGCAATCACATCACCGACACTTGCTCTTCCTCCTCCATCTGCACCTCCCCCTCATGCTCCCGCCCCCCGACCTCTCGTCGAAACGAAGGCCTCCTCTCCTCCCCTCCCTCCCCTCCCGCTCGAGAGAGACGCTGGCGGACCGCTCCAAGCGCCCGGGAGTCCCAGACGGAGCACGAGCGACCTGGTCCCGACCCGACACAAAACGACGATCGGGCGTTATGTGAAGATACGCCCCGCCCGGCCGCCCGAGAGCGTAGATCCATTTTCTTCATGACTCGGGAACCGGTCACCGTGTTTGCGCTCCGGTCATCTGCCATCCGGCGGTCGGTCTCACCGTGTCAGGCCTCTGATCCGGAGAGCACGAGGCCGGGGGCCGAGTGATATAGCGACGAGCGTGGGGGGAGGAGTACCCCCGTCGATTCCAGGGAGCCAATGAAACATGAGGCTTGGCTCCGATCACCATCACAAGTAGAATATGATTTATCGCATTAAATATGTATGTTCACTGTGGATATGGGTGAAATAGAATAACTTCCAATACTGTGGTTACAAATTAGATTCCCACAAAAAAATATCGCATATAGCACGATGATTTTTACACTGAGTTTTTTTTATCTTTTATGATTCGCAATATACTAAAATTTGATTTCCATGTGAGTTGACATAATATTGTTTGCACAACTTCTCATGTATTCGTATTATTATCTGAATAATATTTTTCAAAATTTTGAATTTCATCATTCCACTAGTCACCAATTAAAATTGCAAAATCATCCATTTTGAAATTTTATCACGTTTAAGATACATGTATATATCACGTATGCAACATTACCATGTTAATTCAGTTGTCATGTGTCTCCAACACATGAATTTATTTCAATTTGAGTGTAATGTAAACAGTAAACATTATAGTTCTAATGGGGTCAGAACCAATTATTAGTTACAAAAAGTAAAAAACCTATGCGAGTTATATAGAGACATGTACCAACGCAAGTTTCAGTTCTAATGTTATGACATAATCTACTGATACGAGTGAAAAGACATTCTTCGTCTATGTTTTAAACAAATTCTGAGAGCATCTACCCTTTGCGAAGCAAGGGAAAAAAGTGGACTTTGTAGTTCAGTGAATTCGGTCATTAATGAAGATCGTGCTCTTGATCTATCATAGACGTAGAGTTCGAGCTAGGAATTTTCGTTGGCAAAGCTTATCTTCTAATGCCACATAAGAAGATTGAAATTTTAAATTGCAAATTTCCGATCCCGTAGTGCATTCTATCCAAATCTAGAAGATAGCCAAAGAGATGGTCGTACCCCTCAAAAGTTTTATCATTGTAGTTGGTTCACTCAATAATAACCTAAAGTCCTCACAAAAATAGTAAAATATTTATGTGTTGTGCTGAAAGATTATGAATCCAAAGACTATGATCAGGCCTATCAAAACGCTAACTAGGTGATGAAATAGCTTTGCATAATAACACCCGTGGAGTAGGGTTACACAAAGGTCATTAAAGATCACGAGAATATTACCAAATCCAGACACTTCTCGACTTTTGAGCCCAAGTTGGCCCCTTCGGAAGTCGGATAATTCTTCATGAGCATATGCTCTCGTGGCACCACATCGACGGTCACCACTCTTTCAGGCTTACACGCTGATGGATATTCCCCTCTCCCGACCGTCGGTTCAGAACATTGCTCAGCGATACCGTTGTGGAGCTAACGTGTGAAGTCTCCTCTGTATCCGGTCACGACTAGTCGGTCTCCCGGGACCCGGACAACCCCATCGTTTGATCTGAGAGCCTCCTTTTGGTTCGGTAAAAGTTCATCATCCTCCTCCTTATAAGAACTTCTTCAAGAGCGGTTTCCACTTCCCCGTCATCAGGCTCACGTCACCCTGTCCTAATCTCATATTTAATCCGAACGCTTCCCTCCGATTCGGTGCAAACTCTTCAGCACCCTTCTCGTTGCAAGGACTTCTTGAAGAACGGTGCCGGTATGGACTCCGGTACTTCGACCATGATCGACCGACCGCGAGACAGATGTCGTAAAAGATTTACCGGAGGGCACTTCTTCCTATGCTTCGAAAAGGGGGTCGACTTCGTAATCTTCTTTGTCGAGGAGGACATCGTAGCGAGCGCCTGGTGGTGCTAAATCTGGCGTAGTCAGCCGCGCGCTGTCACGAACTGTTTGTCTTGGCCTAGCCAGCAAGGGAAGGAGCGCGGCAGCCTGTAGCCGAGAGACGAGGACTGGGTTAGTCCGCGCTGTCCGATATGCGATGTTGCTCTCGTGGTCGCGGCGTCGCAGTCGTTTAGACGAGCTCTAGGGCTCCATGTTACGTACTAATGTACTCTTCCATGCAGGATTAGCCTTAATACAAGGAGAAGATTCCGATGGGTTCCTCATACTACGTCGAGATTACGGGATTCGACGGTCCAGATTTCTGTATTAATATCCACTCCGGACCAATCCACACGCCCGCCCGCATCCGCGCGACGCCATTAGCGAGGATCCGCGCCCGTGTAGTTCTCATTCGTAGGTTCCTGAGACTCAGGCTTGTCCACCACAGTGCGACATTTCCACTTCCGCGACGTCACGGGCGGGCTGGCGCGCGGGCGGGCGGGGGAGCGGGTTAGCTCATGGATACAGTCGACAACTGCTACGTTTCCGAAACTCACCCGTCGTTGTCCTGTCCCCACGCAAGAATCCTGTCGGGAAATTCCCAATCGACGACCCACGGTGTCTTCGTACGATCGCGAATAGCATCGGACGGCTGTTGTTCGTGTCGGGATGAGGCGAAGGCACGGCGTTCCTCCGAGTGAGGGCCGAGCGCTGTACTCTGCTCGATGAGACTTCGATGATGTCGTCGCACGGAAGAAAAGAGAGAAAGCACGCACCGAGGTACTATCCGGGGTGGACTTCGGCCTACGTGGTCGAGCGTATGTCTTACGCTGCTGCGAGTCGTGTGAACGAGGAACATAAGTCGGATGTATCCGCTGGGCCCTCCTCCTCGCCCGCGTCGAAGCCAAGTGACCTTACGACGGTCCGGGAGGCCAACGAGGCGTGGCATACACTGGGCAACGGCGACTCTCCTGGAAGGTAAGGAGCTCTCTGAGTCTGTCTGTGCCTGTACGTCCATTTGTATTGTACTCGTTACCGTATCGTACCCGACTTCTCGTTCCAGCGTAGCACTGCGTTGTTCGCTGGCCGGTCTGTTGCTTCTTCTCGAACCCGGCTTCTCATAAATGCACGCACCACTTTACGACAACACTTTTTGTACTTTGTTTTCTCCCGTATTTTATTCATGGAAACTACGCTTATTTAATTGGTCGGATTGTCATTCCTTCCCGTCGTAATTACTATACAAAGGGAAAACTCCTCCACAAGATCAATTGTACGTTGAATCATTTATTTATATATATTTACTAGAATACCGTTCGACAAATTTCAGTGATTTTTCTCAAAACTTAACGTGCTGAAGTAACTTGGATTCGGACACCCTTTGACTAGGGAATATGATTTTTTTTTCCACTTCAGTGCATGCCGACCCATGTTTAGGAAACATCCACAATAAAGATAAAGTAATGGAGTGCGAATGCAAAGAACTGCGATACTCCTTAAATGGCCATTTTTTAAGGGAGGAGATAAGTTGAACACAAGTTCCTCGTGTTAAAGTGAGCGACCCTTGGAACCGGGAAGAGTTCCCAAGATGCCTACTCCTAGAAAGATTATGGACGACCCTTGGTGGTACAGTTTAGCTTAAAAGTCCTCGGCTGCTTCTTCGCTGACAAAAATTGACCTACATCGAACTTACCGTATAGCTTTAAGTAATAATGTACTTTTATTTCTTCATTGCCCACTGATACACCGTCCTTTCCAGCATTCATCTATATTACTGTACCACAACAGCATCCGATATAGACGCAGTACATTCTTACCTTTAGGAGTTTTAAAAATGTTTCGGCATCGAAGGGCGATTCCGTACCTCTTGACTACGCTCAAATATGGTCATTAATAGATCTTTTTAAAAAATGAATTCACTTCACGTAGCGCCAGAGGTGCATTAGAAAACGGGTTTTCATTTGTTTCTTTTGGATCCAAGCAGCACCTAATTTTTAAATTTCACAAGCATTTGTGGTGTATTGTGTTCAAAAAGGTTTAAAATTATTGTAAAAAACTTACACTGAGCTACGTGGGCTCAGTGTTCTCCACAACTACCCAGTAAATATATATTTGTAAGACGTATGTTGAATTATCTTGCAGATTGAAACCAAATGTAAAATAACAGTTTATTTTTTACTTATCTTCATTCGAGTGAATAGAACGTCACAAGTTGCAGACAAGGATAGATTGACATGAATTATAAATTTAGATAGTTCGAAAATTACAATTCTATTCCAAATGATAAAAAACCTCTTTGATTATTTAATATTAAATATTATCAATGGATATAAAACCAAACATATAAAACTACTCTTCCAAATCTGAAAGATCTTATAACCTCTATATGAACTGAAATTTTCAACATTCAATTTCTCAAATTTGATATGATATATATGTAAGACTGAACTAGGTATGATTTATTCTCTATGTTTTAGATCAGTACTAATTATATAGATTAAGATAGATCATGAGTAATGATATAACATAGAGCAAAAGAATGCAATACTCATAAGTGCTTGTCTTAAACCAGCCAGTATGTTTTAGTACCAGGCTTGAAAAAATTTCAAAACTCGTGTGTATAATCCATCTTGAAATTTTTTGAATCAAAAAAATATATAACCATTGTAAAAACTTGAAGTCTTAACACTAATAAAATCAATGAGCAATCTCAAGAAGATACTATCTCAAGCCTAAAACATGCTTTCTTCAAAAATTATTCAGAAATTTATTAATATTTCAAATTCTTAGAAATAGCAAATAATTCTGACCCTTTTGTAAATTATATTTTATCAGGTAGAATTTGCACAAAATTTACACCCTCTCATAATTTTTGAAATTTTATTTCTTCAATACAGAAGGTTTCTTAATTTTTTAAAACATGTACATAACTTCATAAATAAAAAATTTAAAAAGCCCTCTCAAAAATTTTAAATAGATATTTTGAAATAAATTTAGGTATGATCTCATTAAAATTGAAATGAATGATATAATTTGAAGAGAAAATATTGATATTATCATGATATTCTTACATAAATACGATATTATGATAATTCTGAAAATTTTAATATAAATATATTAAATTTGATTTCTAGTAAAAATTATTATACTTAATAAAAATTTATCCTATTTTTATATAAGCAGAAGCAAGATAAGCACAATTCTGTCACTATTTGATTAATTAAAGACACCAGATTAAACATCATAATTTTTATTTGAAGCTAAGATTTCATAAATAAAATAATTGCTCTTTGATCATACTATGTGCATCATATAATCAATACTATTCAGAAAATAAAATATTTGAGCATTACTTTTTTTAAGTTTTATGAAATATCTAAAAGAAATTTTGATCATAGATTTTAAATCCCTTTTTCACATTAACAACTTTTGCTCATTCATGCAATCATTATTACTTGATTTTCATTGTAATATACTTCTTTTGAAACAATATTTGAACAATGATTTTAACCTATGTAACAAACTTGTAATGATTCAATATTTCTAAAATGAACCTAATATATTATTATAATCTATCAGATATAATGACAAAAATTTGAAAGAAGGACAAATATAATATTTTATATCAATTGATTAATAAGAATTCAATTTTTTATTGATTTACCTTGCATATTGATGTAATTTACATCAAAAGAAGATTCAAAAATAAAATAAATAATATTACATATTTTTATAGAAAAATTAGTAATTTATTTTTTCTCTCTTTACAACATGGATGGAATACATTGCGTAAAAGATGATTGACAAGTTTAATGTTCACACAATTTTTTTCAAATGTCCACCCATTTCGCATTTTTGACATATGAAAGTTTTCTAACTAAAATTGATATCTATAGTTGAATGTAATTTCATATATGTAATTCTTAAAATTTTGTGAATATAGTAGTTCACAAAATACATCAAACATTGTAGTGAATGAATAAATGAGACCATTATCTTTTGTTCAAAGTCAATAAAACACTTGGAATAAAGTCAAAAATGTATTTTGTCATATGAAGCAATACAATGAACAAAGAAGCAATTCATGTAACAATGATTAATGTATAGCATGTAATAAGTTTTTTTTTAAATATTATTTGAGAAATAATTGAATGTGAAATTATATTCACAATGATTTTGTGAATAAAATATGTGTTGTAATCTTTTGAAATTGGAAAAAATTAATTCATGGTTTACCTGTGAAACGCAAAACATTTGTTGGGATTCAACACGTTCTTGGAGTTCATCATCATGCATCTTTCACTACAGGTTCTAAAAATTTGATAGTTGATGGCTATAGTATAGGGAGTAAATATCATTATTGGGCTAAAATATTCTCATTAGAATATTTTGATCATGAGGCTGAAGTGTCTTAGCTAGACGATTCAGCTTGGAATTTCATTCTTGTGAATCAGCTTGATGTTTTCAGGTGTTTAATATCGTAATCTTGAGTGCTATGATAAATGAACTGGATTAATTAGTATCAACGTATCCAACATGCTTTACATATATCACCTAAATGTCATTTATAGCCATACATTTTTTGCTATCAATGTGAAAAAACTCAATACTCATTAGATTGGACACATGAACAAGAGTAAGCTCTAGTTCTTAAAGACTGAAAGTTGATAAATTGCTAAATATTTAATATTATCTTGTATTTTAGTTTAACTGAATTGTGTTGAAATAAGTTTAGATTAATCTTTACGTTTGAAAATTTTAAGAAATTGTAATTCCTTGTGTAATTGTAAGTAAAGATGCTAGAAATGCATCAGATTATCAACAAATTCAGAATATGTTCATCACAGAACTAATTATACAATGTGTCATGTCCATCATATTTTTGGAGTCAGTTTATAGTCGTGATTACATATAATTCAAAATAACCTGTTAGGTAATAAAACTTGTCATGCACACATTGACATTGATAAATTGAAGTTCATGTTGCGCTCTTTGTATTTCCTTGCTCCTTATGGTTGTTTTGATTGTTGGAAGATCTTGTTGCAGATACCAAAACTGTGAGCTCGTTGCTTTATCCGCGGATTTTGTTCCAATCATTGTTCAATTTTTAAAAAATTGTGTTTGTGGATGACTCGTTAATGCGATTTGAAGTTTCAAACTTTCATTCAAGAGAGTTTGCATGAGTTTCAGTAGTTTTGTTGAATGAAACTTTCGTCTTCTGTTAGTTAAAAGCCACCCATTTAGATCTTAATCTTAAATTGGATCATACCAAATCCAAAATTTGTATTGAAACATAGTTGTCCATGTGTTGCAATGCAAGTGGACATTCCATATGGTAAAATGAATGTGTTGAATACCAACAAGTCTTTTGAATCTCGCAAGGGCTCATCAATTATTTTATCAAAAAATTATTAATATTATTTTTTGAAAATTATTGTTTGAAAACAAAACATGCATCAAAATCTTAGCAAATAATTTTTTAATTTGAAAAAAATAAAACCATTAAAATAACGATGGATTATATCATCTAATTTGATACCAATGGATATAAAAATAGTCATACTTTACAAAAAAAATCATTATGTAATAAAATTGATGCAAATTAATATGGTTCATTTTTTGAAAAACTATGATCATGAAAACATATATACTTTAGTTTTGTCATCTAAACGTACTACAAGTACTCTTATATAAAAGTGGATTAACCCTAGTACTAATACTAATTAGAGTTATACTAATTTAAATTAAACAAAATCTAAATCAATCTTTAATACAAAATTATTAAAAAACCCTTGTTACTCAAAATCTTCCATTTTTTAATGCATTCAGATGAAAATCATCTGAATGCATTTTTCAATCTTGTGACTAACTATTCAAATATGCTTTCAATAAATTTCTGAAATTACATAAATCTTGAAAAAGTTTTCAATTAGCTTATGGCTACAAAATTTTTACATCTATGACAAATGTAATATTTAATCTTCCGTAAAGCCAAAAAAATCAACTTGACAGTGAGTTTTATTAATCAAATAAAGTATCAATCTTATTTATGATACTATCATAAATAAGAAAGATAGAATTTTGAATTTATATAATTTAAAAATCCTAAACACCATTACTCTAAATCAGCCAAATAAAAATAGATACACAATCATTTTTAGAAAATCACTTTGACATATATTCATCGCCATTAAGTTTAAAAAATCTAGCTTTTAGAAACTGAATTACAATAACAGTATTGATGAATTCAAGTTGTGAAAGATGCAGATTTTTTCATGTTGAAATTCATAATATCAATACTAGTAAAAAAATATTAAATTTCAAATACTTAATGAGCAAAAGTATAGAATCTAGAATATTTATCATTTTCCTCATAAAATTATCAAAAAAAATATACTAAAAAATCAAAATTATTTGGATGGGCAAACCAAATATGAATTAATGGAAAAGAATCGTATCTGTGACTAGTTTTGTACCATATCACATAAACATTTAAGTCCATAAAATTATGAAGTTTTGATACATTTAACATAGAAGGATTAATATTCCATAATATTTATGTAGATGAAATTCCATTGTGATACCAATGAGAACTAGTTGTGAGTTTCTCATTTGATTCATTAATTGATGGGATATTCCCAGCTTTTTTGAATCTACTTAGCTACTTTCTTAGTTGGGATATGGATCAAGGCAGACGATGGTTTTTAAGATGGTAAGGTACTATGTAGATTATTGCACTTACATATTTCGTATATGTCATGTGCAATATTACATTATTTCAGAGTGTGATGTGATCGGGGCCAACAACATAACTCTCTTTTAAATTCATCCCCGAAGAACTAGATGGGTTCTTCCCCTCTAAAACCTTATTTAATTTAAACGAATTTTGCTAGTTACGAAAAAATTATTGATGTATAGGAATTCGCGGATTTATTAAAAAATTTATTTTATTTTTGAGGTTCATAATTGAAAGAAATGAAAAGGAGAGTTTTACGATACATTTCTTATATTACTTGGCAACGTTTATATCGAACATACAACAATATTATGCTTTGAAAGCTCACGCGAGATGCAGAGTTTCTGGCCGAGGTGTCAGAGGGTTGGAGTTAGTGAAAGCGCATGCCCACAGGGTTCCGAGTCTTCCGACCACCCTGAAGCTCAAGGAACAAACTGGAGGAGGTAGGAGAGGGGCACAGAGAGAGGCAGACAGAGAGGAGAAAGCAGAGACGATTTGGAAGAGATTCGACGAGGATTGCCTGAGTCGTCGTCGGTGTCCGAGCAAGATGGCCTGGAGATCGAAGCTGTCGCAATCTCTGCAGGAATTGCGAATCCATATGTGCCAGACTTCTGTTGCCAGCAAAGCCACCAGGTTTGTTTGCGCCACACGAGGTTGAATTTGTAGCAGTCGAGTTGTGGGGTTTTCGGATTTCGAAAATCAGTCGATCGATCCAATCACATTTAAATTTTTGAGATTAATTCAACTCGAAGTTAGAGTGTGTAGCTGCTGGTTTCTATTTCAATGGATTCGTTCTCATATAAGTCTGAATTGCTCTGCTGCTCCCACATGGGTTCGTGATTGCGTTGAATTTGTGGTTCTTGAGTGAAGGCGATGCGATCTAATCATTCAGACCTTAGGAAAAAAAGCGGTCTGGTGACTGTTATTAAGCTCGAGTATTTTGGTTTTGAGTGCAGGGAGTTTGTGGTGAAGAACTACAAGGATCTAAAGACACTCAACCCTAGGTTGCCGATTCTCGTCCGCGAGTGCAGCGGGATCCAACCTCGTCTCTGGGCTCGTTATGGTACAATTTCATTCCAAGTCCACTAGCTTGTATAATTCCCTGATTTGAATATTTTCCTGTGCATCTTTCAAACAAGCAACACATTTCAAAACTTTAGGGTTTGATCGGGGTATGTCTGTCATAGATTTGCCCTTATAATTCTTATTTCTGAATTTCTGTGTGTTTTGTAAGTACAGATTTTGGAGTGGAGCGGAGTATTGCTTTGGACGGGCTAAGTGAACCCGAAATTAGCAAGAAATTGGAGGAATTGGTTGCCACTGCGCCACAAAGCAAAACACCCATGCATGCGTGAAGTTCTTCTCGTTGAGGCAAGACGGTTTCATTATCACAAATCGCGCAGCGTTCGGCAGAGCGCAGAGATAGAGTTTTTCAATATGACAGGTTTCTGGCGTTAATAATTATTATTTTTTTATATGCTGTTCGCCTGGTGGAGGCCACAGAAAAGATGGATTCTCTGTGATGGGCATGGATACACAGAGAGGATGCGAAATAAGGTGTACACTTCAGGGTGCGTGGTTTGACGCTGGACAAATGTAGCTGGGCAAGACAATGTGATTAGGCGATTGATGAAGTAGGAGTTCCTGATTGAATCTTCATATTTAATTTGGCTTGCTGAAAAGACTATCTGCGTAAATTGAAGACTATTGACCTTCAACCTCAATGCGAGCAGCATCCAGATGGATGAATATTGAGTAACTAGGATTCAGCTAGAAGTTTCCTGTTATTGTCTCCTAATTGAGATCCCAGTCCTGATTCTTGGCTCTGGAAGTGTTAATCTGACGCTCATGCTCTTGGTGGCTGACAGTTTTTGAACATCTTACTCATAAATCATTTCACCCTGACTCAGAATGTGCATGAGCAATCGACTTATATTTCGTAAGGTTCTCCACAGTAACCATTCTCAGATTCAGGAATGTAATGTCTCTTACCGGGTATGGTTGTATCCAACTGTGAGCAATTATTGGTGTTTAGTTTCAATTTGCTGCTCCCTCTTGGCTTGAGAGTTATGTGTCTGAACCTGGACTGGATTCAGCTGCCAACACTATGGCTTACAGGGAGAATTTCAAGTGGCATCTAACCTCACTAGGGAGATGAAAAGGGTGGTGGTTGAAGAACCTGGAAGCGCAGGCTCTTCAATTAGGTTGCGGATCCGCGTCAGAGTCAATGGCATGCGGGTTATCGAATCCAGTTTTCGTTGTGGCAGATTTCTGACCACATATGTCCATGAAAAGGATACTGCTAGGCATGAAAATGAGCTGAAATCAACAAGCAGATCATCCCTTGCGATAATCTGTTTTCCGGGACGAGTTTCGCGCTGCGAGGAACAAATTCTGCATGGGTTTAAAGGAACAATAATTTCGTGATGCAAATAATCTGTGATATCACGCATCCAGTCTGCGGTGTTCCTGCTCTAAAAACATGGTGAATTTTGATCGATTAGCCAACTCGACTTGTTTAGTTCATGTGCACAGGATCATATTGACTTGGAATTTGGTCTCAGTCCCTCATCTCTCACAAATTTTCAAGGCTGCAATTAACAAGTTTCCGAAATTGTAATTTGTCCTCATCGAGGCTAGCCTTCGTAATGGATGTATATAGTTTGTGCAAGATGTGCACATGTTCAAAAAGAGAATGCTTGCCAGAAGTGAATGTAATCGAATTCACTTGAATGTAGACCTAAACCAATTACCAGTGTCACTCTTCGGAGTGCCCATCTAGGTACATTCGATAAAAAAACTGCCAACTAAATCTGAATCTACGCTCTTCGCACTATTGTAATAAGAATTGAAGTAAGGATGTTCATCATTTGATGAATCTCCTAGAACAGAATTTGATGTATCAGTCTATAACACTTGTACTTCTACCTGTGGAGATTCTTGTCTCAACATTTGAGAGGATTTGATGATATTCTCTCTGACCGGTAGGTGATGTTGTTGGAGTTGGGTATAAACCCAATCCCAAGCTGCACTATCTATCTCCCCACCCAGTCCTAATACGACGCCTGCACCAGTGCAGCACCCCACCTTACAGCAGGCTTCCAGCGACAGCCCATTAATCATTCCATACAAAAACCCGCAGGCAAACAGATCTCCCGCTCCAGTTGTATCGATAGCCTTGATACCTTGAATGGCTGCAACTCTTGTCACCTGAAAGCAAGCATGGTAAACTCTGGTTACCATGTGTATCTTTTCCCATATATTGGGAGCTAGCAAGAAAAGAAGCTTCATAAATAATTAGTGGTTAAGCCAAAGTCCTTGCTGTCTACTCATAATCTCCCATTCGCTCTTCATTGCCCATCATTGGAGAGAGTCTCAGTCTGAACAATATCAAGCGATTCCCAAAATCATTTTACTCCATATGTGCATTGAATACATGTCGCACACGTCCTTCGTTCTCCAGGACGCTACCGATCGAGACACGTACTTGATGGCTTGAAATCTTACCTCTTTGCCGTGTCGGGCTATGCATCCCTTCGGTCCAAGCATCACAACTGCAGTCTCGACAAAATTTCCCAAAAACTCTAGACACTCTTCTGGCGACTCGAGTCCTTCAGATCTGTCAAGAAGTATAGACGTCAGATTTTGACAGTTTCAAACAGTTACTTCTTTCTTTGACGCAAACCTGCGCTGACCTCCAAGTGTGAGATTCTGACACTTTGACAGCTGGAGCTACCTTGGTTCATTGTAAGTCATTATTCATCTAGGGAACATTAGTCCACACTCTCTTGCTAGTACTACTATAGTTCCTTCGCTCCTACATCGGCATAAGTGATTCACATTTACATCGGCATAAACTAACATAAGTCTAAAAGATGCTACATGACTAAAAATAAGACTACAATGCTTACTTCATGAGTTCTCGAGCTTCATCTTCATTAGCGAAACACAAGTCGATTTTGTGTGACTCCAAGAGCTTCAGTAGGCGAGGACGAGACCTCCGTACAACCTGTAACCATACCAGATAACAACTTGGTCAATAAAAAGAGCCCAGCGATATACTTTCAAAGATTTTGCTGCAAAATACCATCAGATTGTGTCAGGTACGAATAATTAGATACGAACCAAAATCACAAGCTTCACCGCTGACACAAAAGCAAAGAGAACAAAGAACGTCAGTCTGAAACTACCACTGCTTGGCAAGTACAATCATAGCCTCAAGAATGACCACGGGAATTGTACATACAGGAGATAAGTTCCATGGTGAATAATAGCGTTTACAAAAAATATAATGTCAGATAATGTCATGCGGGAAACAAACCTCAAAGCTCGCAAGATCTAACGCGACCCGTGCACCTTCTTGCTTCGCTAGTTCCACTGCTTTCTCAGTGAGGTCTGGCCAGTAAAACCCGTATCCATTCAGGACTACCCACTGCAATTACCACACGACCGTCATCAATTGAGTAATTCGAAACGGCTCAAGTCAAAATAATTATCGATACGACGTGTTATCGGACTCCTAGCCCAGAAGGCGAGTGCTATACGTGGTGTCTGCTTTGAGTCGTAAACCTATGTTCAAAACAGAAAGTAGCTACTATGAGACACTGCGCACAGGACAACCCTCCACGAGATCGCTCCTCTACCTCAGGTACAACGAACAGAGTGCATGAACTTCAGAGAAATGCATCAATTGGGAAGCAACAACGTGAATACTGTAAACTATAAACTGAAGTTGCACAATACAAAAGCTTTCGAACCTTGGCACCCTTGAAGTCATCACGTGTGATCTCCTCAGCCTGCACAATACACAGTTACAACTAGCTCGATAAGGGGGCAGCATAAATGCAAGAGACAACATGTTAGATATTCACATGTACGATCATCTTCGGAGCTTATACTTACTCCGAAGGATCTCTCGGTTACCATTACCTGCTAAATCTTTCCCAACGCTTAAAGCTCTCAAAATGTCTAGATTTCATCTTGCTCCAGAAAGCTACACAAATATAAGAACTAGCCTCTCTTGGAGTCCTAGGAGAAGGACATTCACTAGTAGCTTCTTCCCAGAGCTAGACGTCCATGAGTCACGTCGAGTTTTTTATACTCCTGAAGGTACAGAAATAAATTTTAGAGCGAGAAGAATCAGACAAACGTATGAATATATAACAACGAGCAACGGAAGTAGCAGACAAAAGGATAAACCCTGGACCTTAAAAACACACCCGGAATAAGCAGGATTTCTTACAGCCACAAAAGCTAACCGCATCGAGAAACATTGTACAGAGTGAGAAACTAAGATGGTAGAAGTGATCGCGTCATTGGCTAGCCGATCTCTGTGATGTTTCTATCTTCCGCTAACTGCTCAGTTTGCTTCACATATATGTCATCATGAAACTAAGTTCCCCCCAATTGGCAGAAGTCATGTTGATATTCCTCTTGCCTAGATTCAAATTTCCTGTGTACAATGCAGGATAGACAGTCTGAATGTCGACTCTACATCATCCACATTCGAACGTTTACAAAACTTTGAAACACGATCATCTGACGTGAAGAAAAGAATCCCACCAATTTCCAAGCACTTCAGGTCTGACACGAGCGGGAGCACACGACGAGCAAGGTGTTTGGATTTACAAATCATGACATTATAAATGTGACTGGAGGCCATCCAGTTCACGCCACTGAAGGCTAAGTTCAATCACTTACTCGTAAATGGCTGGCATCTGAAAGGCAAGGCCGCATGGTGCGATTCCCATCTTCATCGACCAGGCAGACACACTGTGACACAGCACGTACAATCAGTCACTGACAAGATTTTGCAGCTCACATGGTTCCGACTACTTCAATCACTTGAACGACCGCAACCTCTCGTCGCGACATACGACGAATTGTCAATTCAACGGAGGGTACACCCCATAGAGAGTGAATAATTCATCTATGTGATGTGAGGCAGAAAAGGTTGGGCCGCTGACCTGTCCTGTTGATCCAGAGCTGACTCGAAGGCTCGATAGATCAACCCCTGCTTGCTCTAGGTTTTGCTGAAACATCTGACCGAGGTCGTCATCGCCGCGAGCGCCCACAATTGAGCATGGAACCTTGAGCCCACCAGAAAGGCCTCTTATGGTGTTGGCCACACTACCGCCCGCTAGAACTTTGATGACTTCGGATCCCGGGGTTGGAATGGTGTGCTCTTTCACCTCCTCTAAAATGCGCACCACCTCTTCCTCCGTGACCTGAACAAGGGTACAAAAACCGTGTCAGAAGAGAAGCTCATCGCTGTCTCGTCTGGAGGAGGGCGGGGGCGGGGGCGAGCTTCACTCCCTCGCTCACTCGTTTGACTTCCGTACGCGAAACGAGCCAATTTACAGGGCGTCACGAGGAGGGACAAAGTAAAACCCCTTGGGTTCTCGAGCGATGGGACGGGCTGGGGAAAGCGTGGGGGGGAAATTCGAACCTACGACTGCCCATTGGACCCACAGACGACGATGGGGTTGGTGTGGATGCGGATTCTCTCTCAATCACTGCCACGACAAGAAAGCTCAAGACAGGAGCCGACTGCGACATGTGCATGCGAAAAGAAGATGAACGAAGCACACCCACCCTCAAGGAGCCGCCTCTCTCGCCCGGAATGTCCTGGAGCAGCGACCAATCCACTCGAGCTACATGATCAATGAGTGCCACCGGCTGCAGGCCCACGACGACAGGGCGGCCCTTTGGCTGCAGCGGAACTGGCCTGCCCATGTCGAAACGACGAGCGCTGCGGATGCACAACCGCAAGCAGGCAGGCGAGCAAGCAAGCCGCAGCAAGGGAGAAAAAGCAAGGCGCGTCGAGCAGGTGTCAAAAGGGAGAGAGGGAGGGTGGAAGGAAGGAAGGAAGGAAGGAAGGCGTGGCTCCGGAGGCCCTGGAGCTCAGCTCATATGAGCGAGCTGGAATAGAAGCAGAACATGGAGGGCGGGGGCTCGGCAGCGAGTCAGGCTCGAGCGCAGGAGCGCCAGAATCAATCACTTCGCTGAGTTGGGCGTAGGGCAGGCCAGGGATCATGCCAAACAAAGAAGATAAAAGCAACCCCAATATGCTTGGAACTCGGAACTCGGAAGCCGAGGGCGTGCACGGATGAGGCTGCCTATTTCACTTCAGCTCCATCTTCTTCCTTTCGCGTGCGGATGTGGTGGCATTACTGCACAGTCCACAGCGAGCGGCAGATTCTTGCAACTTTTTGCCGGACGGGCGACGGTAAGAATGCCAGATTCAGCTGCGGTACAGTAAAGCGAAGCACAGTACACTCTAGGACTGAAGGTTCTCATGGAGCCAATGAGGAACCGACGAGCCCTCTGCCGCATCCAGATCCTCGTGATTCGATGAATCTGGTACCCACTTTGGCCGCACCTTTTGTCCTCGCCGTAATTGTCGTCGCCCGAATCCTCCTCCGTAAGTGAACTGCGTGTGTCTCGAAATCTACTGCAGTCTGCCAGAAAGTGGTCGCTCTTTCCCGCCCGGCACACCAGGACACGAGAATTGATCCGCCATCATCCAGCGACCATAAGCTCAGGAAAATCTTGTGCGGCCCCCGTTCCCAGTCGCCGCGACCTTCGGCTTCAACTCAGCGCACAATCTGGGTCTGAACATTCTCATTCTCTGAGGCCCCTAATCCTATGACCTCATAACCTGAAAATCCTATGCCGCAGCTACCCCATCACTTCGAGCCTTCAAGGGGTAAATCAGCAATCCTTGCGTGCTCGCTCGCATCCATGGAAGTGGTGACGAGCACAATGAACCGAGTAGCGCCATCATCATCTCAATTATGCTCGTCAAGCATCTTTTACCGCTCATGATTTCCCAGTTCATATGACCTCGAGGAATTTCCATTTTTGCTCAACCTGGAATCTTCGATCTGTCACTTGTGAGCTTTGGTCCATTTTCATTTGTCACTGCTCATAGTTCTAATCATTAGCAGATACCACCGGATGAAGCCATGGTATCTCTTCGAAGAGGTCAAACTCTCGACGAATCTTTCCTCTCCAAGAGAAGTTCGCTTTGGCGCCATGTGGAACTCGTAGAAGAATCCTCTGTGTGTTGCAATTCTGACGACTATGGGGACCTTTCAAACCGAGCAAACTATGGGAAGCATCCACTTCTTGCTGCCTAACATTGCTACAAGGGTGGTTTACAATCGCAGCAGAAGCATGTTCGAAAAAATTCAGAAAAACAAAATCTCTTAATATTCACGGGCTTTTCTTCATAATGATGCATCTAGTTTTCAATTAGCATAGTATGAAGTCAACTTCCGACCTGTTCTTTCTGAATTTTTTTAATTCTGTGTGTATATATAAATATGCGTATGTAAAGAATCTTCCAAAATTTACAAATTTTTATTATGCCTTTCTTAAGTGAATTTTGTGTGATTGTAACGAGAGATTTAACGAGTATTACAGGGGTGAGTGGAACTAATATAGTTCCCGCAATTATTTTGTGCACTCGCAATTTAATTGCAGTCGTCCTTCCCGCAAAAGATCTGACCACAGACAAGGATATGACGATAAAAATCATATTCAAAACGATTATATCGAGGGTACATTCTTACATTACACAATTATAATCACGTCATTATTGTGTGATATTGTTCAATATGGTTAGGGAACCATTTGAAAGGAAGAAAGTGACATCACAGACGCCTTTATCCAACTTCCTATCAGCGGCAATGACTTACAGTAAAGTTGACATGAGTGTCAGGTTACTTGGGGCTTCCATTAATAGCCAAAGGTCGACCTCACAATCACAAGGAGGTCGCTGTATCTTACTGGAAAGAGTAACCACTCCTCAGGAATCTGACTGCACGAATTCCCACCCACTTGCATGGAGTTCGAGTTTGAAGAACATGATTCTTCATTCTTAGGACTCGACTATCTTTCTTGTTTGGCCTAACCTCTGAGGCTCCGCCTGCCAAGCTACCAACAATAATAATCTTACTTCAATATATCATGTGGTGACCTTTTCTGTGTGTGATTCTTGTCATTTCTGTTATATACTGCATAGATCCACTCATTATAGTGTGCTCGTGTTCCCTTTGATGGAACTCAAGAGTAGCAAAAGGCGCATTCTCTTCTTAAAAAAATAAAATATAGAGGAAATTGGAAAGTAAAAGAAATAAATCTTCCACATATATCATAGATTCATCGCTCAAAGATTCATCATCGTCTTTGTCGGTCACTGAGTTTATCTGGGAGTTCTTTAGAGAGAACCAACCTCAAATTTTTTCATAATATACTTACTTAATTCCAAAACATCTCATAGTATTTATAGATTCTCAACACCTTCAAAGTATTTGTGTTTATTGGTGAATACCTGCAGAATATGCATCATGAATTCAATTTACTGCGCAAGAGAGCTAATACCAAAATAAACAGAAGCCAACTACAGGCAAGCAAAGCAGTGCCCAACAAGCGAGGAAAAGACAAAGTACCAAAGAGCACCAGACGGTTGTGCAGAAGCCAATCCCTAGCAAATAAAAGGAACTACAGAAACTGGCAGACACCAACTCCGCCGGACAGAAAACCATCAAGCCCGAAGCGCAAACCAACCTAGAAAACTAAAGCCACAAAAGCCACAAAGATGGAGCTCACGTACCCAAGCTCCAGAAAGATCACACACAAACAAGCCAAAGAGAGAGAGGAAATCGAGTGAACTCGGAAGTGCTACGAGAAAGTACCGGAAAAAACCCTGGAGAAGAGTTCCAACAAAAGCAAGAACATGGTCAAAACCGGCTGTCTCACAGCTCGGCCCATAACCACAAGCCGAGATTTAGCTGACAATCAACTATTTATGAGATGCATCTTCCAGCAAATTTGTAGAACAACCCCTCGTAACATTGAACCTTGAAGATAAAGCTAGGATCCGTGCGCATCTACAAATCTTATAGCAGAAGGCGAAAAAAGATCAAATTGGAGTGCTGTCCCCATTGTGTGGGGAGTTTCTATTTTTTTTCTGGATCAGATTAATGTTCCAAGCGTTTCTTGAGACATCTCTCAATTCTAGTAGTGAATTTCCTAACTTAAAGAGTTTTGAAGCATTTGAGCAATAATCAAAAGTTGTTTGGGAGTACTATAGACATTTGAATCTTTCCATAGAGAAATAACATTGTCAATTGGGTTGCTAATTCTAGCATGAATGTTAACGCTAACATTTAGATTAGAATATAGAACTGATTTCTATTCAGCCGGAAATTACTACATATTTCAATTATCAGCTACCATACCTCAGCTCTAATTACCACTTGATCTTTGCAGGCCAAACTTCGAAAGATGTAGAAGATTATTTGTTTGATGGAATATATTCTTGTGGCTAGCGTAATTTTGCCACAACATCTCAATTACTCCGAGCGTGAGGACAATCTAATAGAATATGATATATAAATCTAAAGGCGTTTAAGACTGAGATCATTTTCATAACTCATACAAGAGTCTCATTCATGTTTATATAGTACATCATGAAGAACATGCCACATGAAAATCTTATCTTGATTCAAGATCAAAGAGTAGCAAACAACTTACATCAATCATCTTAAGATTTATCTTAGTGCAATTTCTTGTTCAATAACTCAACCAAACAAAAGGCCGGCGAGCACAAAATCTATGCAATGTCAAACCTCCCAATAGTGACACATATGCGTTCTAGCATTTTATGTCACTATTTGGAGGCTGTTTAGGCCAGTTCGGACGTTATTTGCATTAGGTTGGCATTTTTTTCCTCTTTTTCTCTCTCATCGCGATCTGTCACTGTTGTTATGCATTCGGTGGGCGCTTATTTTTCTCTTAACGCAATCTGTCCCTGTTGTTATGCACACATGTCTAAACGCAAGCGTTTGGATGTGAAGATAGAAGTTCTAGATTTTTTGAATCAGCCCGGAGCCATCGGCATTTTTTATGAAAGCAGCATCGGCATTTTTTATGGCACGTACAAGTGTTTCAAAAATCTAGAAAGAGAGAGAAATTATCAAGCATGTGTCGTTAGATACAAATCGAAATAGGTTTAAAAATATTTCTACATCGACACGAGTGCAATGTCTTATAGAAATGAAGCAACAATAACATATTTGTGTTGAGATAGATGCTTCCACGCTTAATGTGACATGTGATATACTCAAGAAGAAGGCTTTGTTTTTGTGAGATAAAATTTTGCTTGACTTTGCACAATGTTTGACATCTTGAGATACAATATTTCTTCAAACGTTTGTTGAGTACAATGGATGGTTGGAAAAGTATTTGAAGCGCATTCCAACATCTTGTAAGAGGAGGTGTGATGATCAAAATAGTATCAGTGTCATGGAGGTGAAGAAATGTTTGCATCAAATTTATGAAATTTTATGCAATGTAACACTCGAATGCATCATTCACATTGACAAATCGGCTTTAGAGCATCGCATGACGTCATCAAGATTGTACTACACTGTCAATTTGAATGGTCGTGGAATGAAGCGAAGTAAAGAACAAATTACTGTGGTCCTTGGAGTTAGTGCTTCGGGTGAAAAATTTACCATGCAAATTATCACGAAGAGTGATCGTTCAGGTGCTTTGAAAGATATTTCGGACATAAGTAAGGCGTTTGGAATTATTTCTGATCATCAAGTCAAAGCTTGACAAGATACATCTTTCTACATGTGTCTGCTTCACAAGTAAAAACAAAATTGCCAAGTATTGCAACTGCATCTTCTATATACTTCAAGAAAACTGTTCCTCTCTTGTTTGTGCGTCTAAGATTCTAGATCCATCAAGATCAATAAAATCTTTTTTTTTTATTTGATTTTTGATAATGCGTATCATTTTTTTTCTCCTAATGCTACCGGCGAATGTCAACCTCTTGATCAATGTATAATTTGATCTTTCAAAGTTCATTTTTTTTGTGCTCAATTGAATCATTTAATGTTTGAGTATAAGATGTGGTAGACGAGTGAACGGACGTCTTACTTTCAGTTTCCGATCAACGATCATACAAATCTATGCAACGTATTTGGTTGGGTCAAATCTACATCATATGGTATAGAGGAAAATACTATTCGATGGTGTTTTATTAAAGCCAACTGTTTAACTCTTGGATTTAACTTAATTTTCAACCAAGAGATCAATAGATCCACTTCCGGTTCAAATCAAATCGTGAATGATTTGGTGAAAACTCTTAAAAAAATTTGATTAATTGAATATTTTTCAGCGTCATTGGATCATGATGACTCAAGTATAGAAAAAGTTGACGAAGATCTTATTGAAATCAATGTTGTTGATGCTACTAGCGACAATTATGTTGACGATGTTAGCTTTGTCAAATCAGTTTTGGAACAACATCATCTCTTGCACAGTGATAATAATTCAAATGATGATGATTTTGATGAAATTCCGCCTTTGATGATCATCGAGCAGGCGAATTGAGCAATCACTGATTTGATTAATTTTTTTCAATTAAATCATTTTTATCGACAGAACTACATAGTAAGTTGCTTTGCAACCTCCAAATAGCTTGTCAATCGTTGATTTGTCAGCAAAAAATTGAGAAATCATTGAAATAATCAACAATCATATTGTAAATTTTTTGTACAAGATTTAATAGTTTTTGAATTGAATTTCATCGAGCTCAAATTTTTGAATTAGACGATCTGTTAGTGTTTTTCTAAATTGTGTAAATTTGTTGATGTGCAATTAAATGAAAAAAATCTTTGTCTTTGCGTTCAGTGGGAATGAATTACATTCTTAGATTCATTTGTATGTTTGACATTTTATTGTTGAGTAAATATAATTTCATTCCATTGATTCTCGTTGAATTCTCTGTCTTGTACTTTGTCTGGTCTTTTCCAACGACTTTGTGGCTCCGAGCAATTGCAAAACCCCACGTTCAGCATCACTCAGACCTCCTTACATGCACTCAAAAACTGGGAAGACTGTAATCACTTAGAGTTCAGAGACTAATCATAAGCTTTCTTTGAATTCTACCAAAGACTCTCTATAAGTGTCTTTTTATTTCTCATTTCTTATTCTTAATAGGAGATTCTGAAAAATCTCACAGCAAATTGAGCTCAAAGCCAGAGAGTTGTAAGTCCAACAATCAGGTTAAGCTAAACTAAGCTAAGAGAATGAAAAGTCTAGATTATTCGGTGAATATAAGCTGATTTGCAACCTCG